GGGTGGGGGGGGCAAAAAATTGTACTTCGCGCACTATGCGCCCTTGATATTTAGTATTCAGATATTATCGAAACTCTACAATTTAAATAAAAATATAAAAAGGGAACTTAATTTCAGGTTTTGGTCTCAAAGGGAACCTATTTGTCAGCTGGCAACCTGGTATTGGGGGAATATGAAGCTGTCCTGGCTCACACCTTCTCACAGGTTGAACTAGTCTTCCAGGCATATCGTGAGCTAAGCAATCAGCTTGAACAGGATTTTAATTCCAGTTTGGATTACTTTAAGAGTAAGTTTTTTGACAAGAACGACGAGTTGGACAATTGGAGGCAGATTTACTTTGACAATATTCTCAAAGAATCATCAGTCAAAACTTTTCTCATCGACTTCGAGGAGGGTTTGGTCTCAGATATCAGAGTTAAACAGAGTTTTGAGATGATGCGCTTAGATATAGAGAAACTGAAGAGTTGTATCCAGGGAACTGGATCCCAAAAGGTGTTGATGATTAAAAAGAAGAACCTGGAAGTAATGAGTAACAAACTAAAGGTTCACCTGACCTTCCTTCTCATCCCTCTGGTGGGAGAGGTCGATAAGAAAACAGAGATATTCCTCCAAACTGTGGTTGATGCATTCCAGAACTCCACAAACAACGAGCAAAGCCCTGTACAGATTTCTACTGATCTAGTTCACAGAAATATATCTCATATTCTTCAGAACCTGTTCCCTGCTAATACAACCAGAAATCAGAATCTAAATTTGTTCAATAGCCCTCCATGGATCCAAATCAATCCCAGGAAGAGGCCAACCTTTGAAGCTTCTGATCAAAATCTTCAAGAAGTTCTTGGTTCAGTAGGAGTTGATGCAAACCAACCTCTGGAGGCTGCCCTCCAGGACACTAGATCCATCCTAAATGCAAAGAAGGTTGAGTTGAAAAAATATTTGTTGGAAACTTACCCCACTTCTGAAATAGCTTCAACTGTTACTCTTGTAGATGATATTTTCTTGGAACTAGAGACACAGAGCATCAATTCAATTCGTAATCAATACACTCAAGTTTGGTCAAATCTCGTTGGATCACAGCAGCCTTTTTCTGGATCGTCTTTACAGCAGCAATCTTTCACAGATTTTTCTTTAAAACCATACTACCCTGTTTCTCCCCAAAGGCCAATTTCCTCTGCTTCAGATCGTACGCCACTCTTTTCTGGATCAGAACAGCCGATCTTCCCAGGATCTCTGGAAAACCCAACTTTTACTGGATCTTCTTCTCAGCAGATCTTCCCTGGATCCCCTGAACAACAAACATTTCCTGGATCTTCTCCACAGCAAATATTTTCAGGTTCATCTCCATCTTCTCCACAGCAGAACTTCCCTGAATCCCCTAAACAAAAAATCTTTCCTGGATCTTCTCCACAACAAATTTTTCCTGGATCTTCTCCACAACAAGTCTTTCCTGGATCTTCTCCACAACAAATATTTCCTGGATCTTCTACACAACAAGTCTTTCCCGGATCTTCTCAACAGCAAATTTTCCCTGGATCTGGTGGAAAACCAGTTTTACCTGATTCGATCCAACAACAAACCTTTCTTGGATCTTCTCCGCAGCAAATCTTCCCTGGATCTTCTCAACAGCAAATCTTTCCCGGATCTTCTCCACAGCAAATCTTCCCTGGATCTTCTCAACAGCAAATCTTTCCCGGATCTTCTCCACAGCAAATTTTCCCTGGATCTTCTCAACAACAAATCTTCCCTGGATCTTTTCCACAACAAACCTTCCCTGCATTTTCCCAACCTGAACAATATCCTGGATCAATTAACCTTAACTATTTCACAAAACAGAACCATCCATATATAACTGCTGTGCAGCAAATCTTAGAATCATTGCTTGTTAGGTTAGACGCTTTTATAAAAGAAGCTAATAGTGATCGTGACAAATCTCTAAAATCTCTTTCATCACAGTTAGAGGAATCTGCCAAGTATAAAAAAACTGTTGTGATCCTTAACCTATGGAAGGATACCATTGTAAATAGTGCAAGGGAAGGATTTGAAGGTAGTATTAATGAAATTGACAGAATTGTGATGAATCACAACCAAGCAATAGGTGTTCTTATGCAAAACTTTCTGAGTCAGACTGGACAATCTGGAGGGTCCAATCCTTTGATACAAAACATCCTGAATGCATTTGAGACACAAAAGCAGTTGGTTGAGGTTGCCCTAAACCGTTTTATCACACAATCAGTTGATGAAATGTTTGTTTCGGCGAACACTTCGAATTGGTTACCTAAGGCTGAACTTGAGTATGAGAATCTAGTTGTTGATATCACCAAGACAGATGTAACAAATATCTTCAAACTGCTTCTGAAGAGAACGATCAGGTCATTGTATAGAGAGGTTGCCTCCCCTAGTGGAGGACCCGGAGGACTACATCAGCAAGTCTTTGAACTAGTTGATGAAGATTTATTTGATGGAGTTGGGGCTACTGTTCCAACCTCAGAATCTGATAAAGCCAACACAACTGCTGACACTGACTGGGAGAAGATATTACCCGCTGTTTATGTGCCTCCCAGGACTCCTTCATACACTGTAAATCATGAGTAAGTAAATAAGTTTTTCCTAATATTTTTTTTACTATAAATAGCAAAGAGATGTTTTTTTTAGTTTTTTAGAGTTCCTAAAAAAATGTATTGTTGGTTATCATGGAATTTGTACAACTAATCAGTATTTTTAACTTAATTTAGATTCATTTGTTTAATTTTAGGGGTTTTAACAAATTGTCATTATCTAGGCCTGCTGCGAAACCTTCTCCAGATAATGGTTTAGAAACACCTGTCAGTGTTTCTAATGAACCAACTCAAGTGCCAACTGGTTCTCTTCTTACTTCATCCATCATTGTTGTCTCCTCTTCCAAAAATACTAATACCTCCCAACAAGCCACAACCATTAGATCTTTTGCGCCGTCTAACACTAGCTCTGCCAGCTCTCTACCCACTACCACATTGGATAATATGGAGAGCTTACATGGAATTGTATTCTTGGGTCAAGTAAAAGTGAAACCTGGACTGGATTCAATTATCTTTGTGTCCCAAGGTATTGGCACAACTTTGTCTCCGGTTTTAAGCTCCTCAATGTTTCCAGTAATGACTTCAACTTTATTGTCGGGGGGCTCCACTACTGTTTCTCCCCCGAACCCGTCTTTGGCAACAAACTCAACTGCCACTTCAGGAAACTTGACAACCGCATCTTCAACAATGAGCTCAGATTTATCATCAGGATTAATTAACAAAACATCTTTAAATATGACTACAAGGGTCTCTAAAGACATGAACATGACAATATCTTTGGGAGTGAGAGCACCAGTTTCCTCAACATTGCATTCTATCACTAACCAGTCATTAATCCCGGGTTCTAAGAATATGAGCCAACCATTAATCACAGAACATAAAACTTCAATGATTGATGGAACAGTTCTTAAAACATCTTTGCAAGTTAATCAAACTTGGTTTGAAACCAAAGTAGACAGCAGTAAAGATAATACAACTATGATGCAAACCGTTCAAGGAAATCTTAGTGGAAGTAATGCAACTGGAATTAAAACAACTGGAGGAAAAACAAATGTAGGGGTACAACCTGAAGATCTAACTAATGAAAGTCAAACCACTGTAGGTCAAACCACTGCAGGTCAAACTACTGCAGGTCAAACCACTGCAGGTCAAACCACTGCAGGTCAAACCACTGCAGGTCAAACCACTGCTGGTCAAACCAAAGCAAGTCAAACCACTGCAGGTCAAACCAAAGCAGGTCAAACCACTGAAGGTCAGACCACTGCAGGTCAAACCACTGCAGGTCAAACCACTGCTGGTCAAACCACCGCAGGTCAAACCACTGCAAGTCAAACCACTCCAAGTCAAACCACAGCAGGTCAAACCACAGCAGGTCAAACCACTGCAGGTCAAACCACTGCAGGTCAAACCAATGCAGGTCAAACCAATGCAGGTCAAACCACTGCTGGTCAAACCACTGCAGGTCAAACCAATGCAGGTCACACCACTGCAGGTCACACCACTGCAGGTCAAACTAATGCAGGTCAAACCACTGCAGGTCAAACCACTGCAGGTCAAACCACTGCAGGTCAAACCACTGCAAGTCAAACCACTGCAAGTCAAACCACTTCACTGGAGGCCAAACCACTGGAGGCCAAAGCACTGGAGGTCAAACCACCGTAATTCAAACTATAAAGGTTCAACCAACTAGAGTTATAATCGAAGGAGGTCAGACATCTGGAGTCAAAACCGATGGAGGTCAATCAACTAGAATTCAAAACGAAGTAAGTCAAACATCTGGAGGCCAATCAACTAGAGTTATAACCAAAGGTGGTCAATCATTTGTGTCAACCTTTAACTCTAGTTATGAAGTAACAATGGAAAGAACCTACATCTATAATCTAGGTAGGCAAACTTATTTAAATTAAAAGAAAGTTTTCGAAATAATATTTTTTGGCGTTTTAGGTGGCAAGATAGTGACGTGGGGACCAAACCAAGACGTTAAAAGTAGCATAGGAAGTGAGTATTTTTATGATAAGATAAATTGATATTTTGAATATTTTTATATAACTGTTCATTTAAGTTGCAGTTTGGAGTACAATATGTTTACTTAGTTAGCAGTACAATTGTTTAGGCTGCAGTGGAATATGTTTTCTTAGTTTGCAGTTCAACATGTTTGTTTAGGTTGCAGTACAATATGTTTGTTTAGGTAGCACTACAATATGGTGCAGTACCAAGTTTGTTTAGGTTGTGGTGTTATATGTTTATTAAGGTTGCAGGTGACAGTACAATATGTTTGTTTAGGTTACAGTACAATATATTTGGTTCGGTTACAGTACAATAGGATTAGTAAGGTTGTAGTACAATATATTTGTTTAGGTTTCAGGTCAAAATGTTATTAAGTTTGCAGTACAAAATGTTTGTTTAGGTTTCAGTACAGTAAGTTTGTTTAGGTTGCAGTACAAACTGTATGTTTAAATTGCAGTACATTATGTTTGTTTAGGTTGCAGTCCAATTTGTTTGTTTAGGTTGCAGTACAATATGTTTGTTTCTACTTGGTCGCTGTACAATATGATTGTTTAGGTTGCAGTACAATATGTGGTATTGTTTTCAGTACAAAATATCGTGTTTAGGTTGCAGTACCGCACATGGTCCTGATCCTGATAAAAAGTGTGTTTTTCCATTTATCTACCAGGGGCAAACCAACCATGGATGTGTTCATAGGTACTTATGTAAGAAATCATTCACCGGACGTGAAAAAAAGACCCAAATTGTCAACACAGATTGTGAGGAGACTTTGCTTTTATCTGATCTTCTTAAACCAAATTTTTCTTAATTCAAAAACTAAAATTTTTGTCTATTTTAAGCGTAATAAATTATTTATAACTTAATATTAATTTAGCCATCAAGTATTCACAACTGGTCAATATATCCTCTTAATTGGCCCAGATATCCACCTTAGTCAATATATCCTCTAGTATTGTCCCAGATATCCACTTTAGTCAATATATCCTCTAGTATTGTCCCAGATATCCACCTTGGTCAATATATCCTCTAGTATTGTCCCAGATATCCACCTTAGTCAATATATCCTCTTAATTGGCCCAGATATCCACCTTAGTCAATATATCCTCTTAATTGGCCCAGATATCCACCTTAGTCAATATATCCTCTTAATTGGCCCAGATATCCACCTTAGTCAATATATCCTCT